TTTCTTTCTTTCTTTTTTTTTTTTGGTACCAGGGATTGAAGTTGGGGGCACTCAACCACTGAGCCGCACCCTCAGCTCTTTTTTGTATTTTATTTAGAGACGGGTCTCACTGAGTTGCTTAGCGCCTTGCTAAGTTGCCAAGGCTGGCTTTGAACTCGTGATCATCCTGCCTCAGCCTCCCGTACTGTCGTGATTGTGGGTGTGCACCACTTCACCTGGCTCATTATTTCTTAGCCTGGTCTATTGTAAGCAGTCTTTTCCTGGCCTTTACCCATCATTCTATTCCCCAATCTGTTGTGTGTATACACTGTTTTCTAGGTTACTCCCCACTGCCCACCACCCCGCCTGCCCCAACTATTGACCCAAAACGTTGATTAGCTACTAAATAGTTCAAAATGTGTAAGCCTAACATTAAGTGCCTCCATGACCTGGAAATTGGCCAGTTTCCAGTTGCATTTCCCAGCTATTTTGAATCTTCTACTCTGGCCCTACTAACCAGCTCATTGTGCCTCATTTGTGTCCCTTTGCTCAGTTCCAAGCCATTTCTCATTGTTTTGTTTTCCTAGGATATCTTTTCTTGCCAGCTTTGCACATTCCAATCCTGCCACTCTTTGAAAAACCAGCTCAAGTACACTTTTCAGGGGCCCTTCCCCAGGTGCTTCCCCTCACTTCTAAACACACATGCATCCAGTGGAAATAGACCTCAAAGAATATCAAGTTCAGTCTTACAGCAGAGTTTTTTATGTATCTTTTATCTTTGTTACCTCTTGCATTGAAGAACCTTGGTGCAGAGATCATCTGCTACTCATCTTTGTGACTTGTCATATTCTCATTGCATATAGTAAATATGTCCTAAGAAAAATAATTTTGTTCACTTAAAATAAAAATGTAACCATTAAATACTGGCTCCTTCAATGATATTGGGCCCAAGATAAGAGACCCAATTAGATAATTAGAGTAAAGGTTTTTCCAAATAGGCTGTTAATTTTTAGGCCCTATCCTCTGCTGTTTTTCAGCAAATTTATGGACATGATCTCACTTAGCTAAATATTGTTTACATTAAAATGTCAATTTTAGTAACCTTCAGTGCATTAAATATAAAATGGATGGAACAATCAAATATTTTGGCTTAAGTCAGTAATTTAGGGAGTAAATTGAGTAGCCCTCTTATTTCATTTGTTTCCATTGTTTTCTTTTGAAGAGAAAGCATGAGAGCTTATTTATTAACCACTATGAAAAAGTGGTTATTATTCTTTAATGAACATATTTGTGAGTTTATCAGTCTTAGATTTGAAATATTTTCTGTAAGTAATTTCAACTGAATCTGCAAAAAAGGTTTAGGTTTTTCTTTATTTCCTATTAAAGGAAAACTACATGTTCTAAGTAGCATCTCAAGGCACATTTACATTGTATACATTTGTCACATCATGTAATCTATGGTTAAGACATGCATGTGATTCTTGACGACAGCTGTGGGTTAACTCACACAATTTAAGAAGAAGGAAGTAGAGGGAAGTGTTCAACTAAAGTGTCAAACATCATTGCTTTAGTTTTGATTCCCTACCCCCTTTGGTGCTGAGGATTAAACCCAGGGCCTGACAAGTGCTAAGTACTATCACTGACCTACACTCCCAGCCCCTAGTTTTGAATTTTGAAGTCCTAATCCTAGCCCTTCCAGCCTGGAAATTGCCCATTGTTTTTGAAAGGAGATGATCTGATCTCATCCTATAAGTCAAAACTATCACCTTCTCCTTTATTTCAATGTTTCCACATTGAAAAAAAAAAATCTAATTCTGGTGTTATCATGTAAGGTTCATTAGATTTCCAGATTACTTTGAAAAGGACTGGCAAATGCTCTGCCACTAATTCCTGTTCTTTAGTACCTGTTGGCCATAACTAATCTATAGTAATGTCTTTCTTTCTTACTGGTCAGATTTTTACTCCAAGTAATATCTTTTAATTGACTGTATTTGGCAAGTGAGATAAGATATATTCACCAGCTTAGTCCATCTAGAGTGCTCAGTATTATATTACATTGCCTCTTGGTACAAGAAATACATAGGAGATGTTTATGGAATGCTCTTGGTAATTTGATTAGGCTGGGATTAGAAGATCTTGTGTCCTGCTTCATTACCTCCCAGTTACTTATCCTTCTGAATTAGTCTGTTTGGTTAGAGTTAACTGTTTTCCTTAACTCTTATTTTCCATTTAGCTAGCATGCAAGAAAAAATATTTTCTCTTTGTAAGTTTTCCTCCTAAAATCTCAAAGTACATTATTATGATGATGATGATTAAAGATTTAAATGCTGGTGTATTATTACGAAGGAACATTAGAATTTCTGCCAAATACAGAAGACATTATCTCATATCTTGTCTTCTTTTTTATTTTATTGGTTATTTTTAGTTACACGACAGTAGAATCCATTTTGACATAATTATAAAATCATGGAATATGTCTTGTTCTAATTCAGTCCCCAGTACTTCTCCTTCCCCTCCCCTCCCCTGACCCCCAACCCTTTCCCTCTACTTTGCTGATCTTTCTGCCTTCAAAAGACATTATTGCTGATTTTTTGTTTTTTCCACAGGAAAACTGATTGAAAACCCAGAGATAGCTTAAAACTGCACTAGCATATGTACTTTGTTTAAAAACAAGGAAGTTTATGGGTTTGATCAACTTTGCACTTGTCAGACCATATACAGATTATTGTACTTAACATAGGACACTATATTTTTTGAGAGAAAGATGGTGCAGATATTCACTTTATATGACAAACAGATGAAGAAAAAAGACCTGTTTACCTTGGAAAAGAGAAGCCCCAAGGGAAAGCAGTTACTGCCTTTCTTCATGTGCTAGTTGGAAGAGACTTAGGTTGTTTTAGAGTCAATTTAGACTAATGGCTAAGAAGTTCTAATTCAGTGAAATGTCTCTTGAAAAAGACCACCATAGTCAAAAAAAATATGACAAATGCATATACCATGCTCCCTTTCAGGGGATGTGCAAGTATATATTAAATATATATTAAGGGCCCTAAAAACATCATGTAGTAAGATTTCTCTTTAAATTTGTTAATCAACGCATTCCATAAACAACTTCCTCAGAACTAGTTTTCTAAGGAGTTGGCATTAGAGTAGTAATTTTCAAATTGTGATAATGAGTATGGTAACATCAACATTACCTGGGAACTGATTACAAATGTAATTTCTTGACCCTAGCCCAGACCATTGGAATTAGAAACTGCTGGTAAGTCCCAGCAATCTGTGTAATAATGAGTCCTAGGAGATTCTGATGTTGCCAAAAATGTGAAAAGCACTTCTAGTAAATTCTGTTGTTATTCTCCAACTCAACAGTGCCCTTTTGGTTTCTTCATAGCATTTTCCATAATTTGTATTTTTAAAATTATTTTTCTACTGATTTTATACAACTCAATTCATTTTATAGATGGTTTCCCATACAAGGTGTAAAATAAAAGAAATACTTATTGAAGGCCAACCATGGTTTTTACCCTAGTGTAAGTACCATCTAGCTGGTATTAATTTGGATACTTAAAAAAATTCTAAATAATTAATCTGTATCTTCTATAAACTGAAATATACATTTAAATAATGAGGTAAAACATAATTCACTGTCATTGTCATCTTTTAAAAATACTTGAGGGACTAGGGTTGTGGCTCAGTGGTAGAGTGCTTGTCTAGCATGTGTGAGGTATTGGGTTCAATTCTCAGCACCACATTTAAAAAAATGAATAAATAAAATAAATGTGCTGTGTCCATCTACAACTAAAAATTTTTTTTTAAAAAAAATACTTGAAATTTGGAAAATGGAGAACTTTCACTTATCATCTTAAAATATCTGTTTTGAGCCGGGCATGGTGGCACATGCCTGCAATCCCAGCAACTTGGAGCCTGAGGCAAGAGAATGGCAAGTTCAAGGCCAGCCTCAGCAATTTAGTGAGACCCTCAGCAGCTTAGCAAGACCTTCTCTCAACATAAAATAAATAAATAAAAAGGACTGGAGATGTAGCTCAGTGGTAAAGCACCCCTGGATTCAATCCCTGATACCCCCCCCCCCCAAATCTGTTTCATGCCTTCTCCCATATTATAAATTCATAAAATTAGGAAATTTTCTAATCTTTGACATTAACAGATTAAATTCTGGTGGTATTAAATTTATGTCTCCAACAAGCAAGACACTTTTAGAAAAACATTGTTAAAGTACAGCTTAAATTGTATTAGTGTATAAAAATAAAAAGAATGCACCATAAGTGTACATGTAACTATTGCCTAATTTATTATACTGGGCGTCATAAACGTGTTTTGAATGTTTATATGAAATGCCTCTAAAAGTTATGCAAAATAATTTCCTTTTCCTTAAGAAGAACAGTAAAATGAGTTTGGGGTGTGTTAAAGTGTCACCACACTATACTTAAGTGCATTTAGAACAAAATTACTATTAGTGTTTCCTTGGAAGGAATTATAGCCAAATTTATCTTAACTTCTTGTTATTGTTTTGTCACTTCTTTTGAAGTCAGGGTTCTCTGGGTAAATATTATTAGGTCAATTGCAGGTCTATTTCTTCTTAGTTAGATGGACAAATACTGAAAGACTTCTACAGTCTGAATTTAGATTTGGTTGCTGTTGTCCAACAGCCGAATGCCTTGGGGTATCCACTTACGGTAATGAATATAAGTAGTGGTATCATTATTACTATATTTAAACACTCATGCTCTGCAGGAATGTGCTAAAGTTTGAATATAACATGGTAAATTATGTCACTGTTCCTGCCCAGGGCAACTGCTACAGAAAGGACACACTCACATATGAGGAAGCTAGCAGATGCAGTGCTTGTGAGCTAAGTGTTACTTCATTGCTGACTCACACAAAAAGGTTTAGGATGTTGCCTGTGTTATCTGAAGAACATCTGGCAGTTTCCATCTTGTATTGTAATTTACCTTATAGAATTTTCATTCCATTTTTATGCTTATTATTATATCTCTTTTTAGTTTTCCTCACGGGAGAAAGAGCCAATTCAGTATTAAAACGCTACCGAAGAGCTAATGGACTTTTTGAAGAAATAAGACAGGGCAACATTGAACGTGAGTGCAAAGAAGAAGTCTGCACATTCGAAGAAGCCAGGGAAGCTTTTGAAAATAATGAGAAAACTGTAAGTATACGAGCAATTTTAAATATTCTCACAGATTTGCCTACATTTTGATTTATATTTGAGATCCGAAGTATGTACATTGTTATTAATTAAAAATTAACTTTTTCGAGGAAGCCTGAAAGTGGCATGTAATAACATTCCATGCGTGGGAAAGCTAAGTTCACTTCCGTGTTCACTGGTCTGTTTCCACAGGATTCTGCCAAGAGCAAAGATTCATCAACTTGGCAGGGGAGAAGCATTTAGTTCACCCAAGGCTTTGATCTAGAAAGTTAATATCCTTACCTATTATCAAAGAGAAAGGATGGAGGAAGCTAATGAAGGCTGATAATATTTTTAAATGTTTTACTTCTCCTATTAAAGAAAAGACATATCTAGATTCCCCATCCCCATTCTGTGAGACTACTGCCCTTTACCTCTCTTTATTCTGGACTATGTGTTCTTCAAGGAGAACAGGGATGGGAAATCACAAGGCAGGGGTGTATATTCTGCTTCACAGTTGGAAATCACATTACCAGAGGTAACCATTGTAGAAAGATCTGGTGCCTTGCACCATGAAAATAACACTAGCTGCTAAACAAGTGATGGCTGAGGTGCTGGAGGGATATAGAACACACCTCAGGAGCAGTGGATGCAGAAGAGTTTTAAAGAGAGGGATTTTGATCTTTTGTTAGGTAGAGAAAGCCCCAGAAGGAGCTGAAGGGAAGATGCTTAGAGAGACATGATTGCTAGGTTCTAGTATACACAGCAAAAGCACAATTCATTTAGAAATTGATAATCTGTGAAGTTCATTCACTTGGAGTTTATTGTTGTATATAGTATGAGGTAGGGATCTGATTTTTCCACATGACTACCCAGTTTTCCAAACACCATTTAATATAAAGCTCTTCTTATCCCTAGTGATTTTAGTTAACATTTTATCGTGTACCTAATTTCCATATGTACTTAGTCTATTTGGCAATTCCCTGTTCTGGTCCATCGGGCCATCTCACTGCCCAAATACTAGAACCATACTGTTTTAGTTATAGTGGATATGTAGTATGTTTTAGTGTAAATTAGAACTACTTCTCCTTTGTATTGACTTCTTCAGTGGTTTGTGAGCATTGCATTCCTGATGTTCCATATAACTTTTAATATTAACTTGCCTAGCTCCAGGAAAAAAAAAGTCAGTATTTTTACTAGGACTTCTTTCAGTTTATATCCCTTCCCCTAAAATTTATTTTTACCACAGCCTTTCTGATTTCAGTAAATATTAATTTCATCCATCCATCTCATTGCTGGTGTCCAGAAGTTGCTTCCATCCTCATTCTTCTCTCCTTTTCATATCCCACATTCCATCTGCCAATAGTTGGTTCTATCATGAAATTACATTCAGAATGTAGTCACATTTCAGCCTCTCTACATGTTACCATTATATATCCAAGTCACCACCACCTTCTCATCTGTATGATTTCTTGGCCCTCTTTCCCATAATTGATTCTCAAAACAGCAGGCCATACTTTAAAATCTCTTTTCTGCATTTTCTCATCTCCCTCAGTAAAAGCCAAAGCACTCAGAATCATATATAAGATACTACATAATCATCTCCATCTCAAACTTCCACTGCTCTGTAGTTATTTTTTTTTTTTGCCACATCTCTTATGACACTCTACCCTTTATATTCACTTTGCTGTGGCTTGCTTGTGCCTTCACACATACACTCACACACACACACACACACACACACACACACACACACACACCACAGTTCTACCTCATGGCATCGGCACTTGTGCTTTGCTCTTCCAGATGGATGTATCTGAGCTTGCTGATCTCTGTCAGGTCTTTGCTCAAGTTCACTTTCTCAGTGAGAAAGTATCCTACCTTAAATTGCAACCTGGAGTCCCTTCCATGAATTATTTTTCTTCCCAGCATTTATCACCATCTAACATCCATTTGTTGTATTTGTTAATTGATCACTCTCTCCCCAGGACTCTTAGCTCTATGACAACAGCATTTCTCATCTGTTTTGTTCTTAGCTATGGTCCCTAGCAAAGCTGGCACATAATGGGCACTAAATAAATATTTGATGATGGAATGAACTAATGGATTGGCATATTATGAAGTACATTTAATGCATAGGAAGATGTGATTTAAAACTTTTTCACACATTGACTGAAAGAGGTGGACTTTAAAATGGATTTTTATTATATTGACATTATGTTTGTTCTCTTCTTTATGGTTTAAAGTCTGTAATCCAGGTTTGCTTATGCCATTAAAAGGCCATTTACAATAAAGTGTGTTGAAGGGCTTTTGTCTAAGTGTAATAAAATTGGCAATCTCATCCTTTATTTGCTTTAGAACAACTATTTCAGAATAGTGGGGTTTTTTATGTGCTAAGAAGGATCTAGCATTGGACAACACAGTTTCATCTTAATCTTGACAACGAAGAAAATGCTTGGCTTTTGAGATTTGCTTTCTACTCTTAGACTTCTTATTATGTTTTTTTTTTTTTTTTTTTTTTTTTTTTTTTTTTTTTTTTTACTAAATTCTATTGCTCGGAACAGGTTTACTTACACATATTTTCATCATCCCCAAATGTTAGACTCTGTGATTTTAAAAGTCCGCTTTCAGTAGACTGAAATTTTACTTGAAATTCTATTTATAATTCTTTACCTAATTGGGAACACAAGTATAATTAGACAATGGGAGAAAATGTATTGTGCTTAATGTTCCTCCTTTTCACCAAATAGAAATTAGGTCAGATTTACTCAGACCTTATCTGCTGAATATCACCAGATATAGGACACACAACAGTAAATAACCTGCCACTCACTCGTGGCTTTTGAGATCTCATAGAGGCAGCTGACATACACACAAAAGTTCATAAACACTCTGTACATCTTAAATATATAAAATTTGTATTTGTCACTTATACCTCAGTAAAGCTCAAGGAGAAAAAAGCAGTAGTTATCTCTGTAGAGAATTAGATGGATCTGATTTGGTGTCTCAGCTCTGCCATCTACTGACTATATTGCTTTCTTTTATTTATTTTTTTATTGGTTGTTCAAAACATTACAAAGCTCATGACATATCATCTTTCATACATTTGATTAATAAACATTTCGCCATTTATTTTTATGTCTTTTGAAGGGGGAAAATTATACCCACAGCCTAGCATAGAGAAAGCATTCAATAAATACATTTTACTCTAGTTTTTAGGTGAATTATAGACACTTTATTTAGGAATCATTACTAATTTCTACCATTGTTATTTTTCTCTCCTGTCTATGGGACCATGAGGGTTCTCTGCATTTTGGAACTTTTTTTTGTACTGGGAATCAAACCCAGGCAGGAGCACTTTACCACTGAGCCACATCCCCAGTCCTTTTTATTTTTATTTATTGTTAATTTTTTTATACTGGGGATTGAACCCAGGGGCACTTTACCACTGAGCCACATTCCCAGCCCTTTTCTTTTTTTATTTTGAGACAAAGTCTCAGTAAGTTGCTTAGGGCCTTGCTAAGTTGCTGAGGCTGGCCTTGAACCTTCAATCCTCAAGTCTCAACCTCCTGAACTACTGGAACTTTTAATCTGGAGGTGCCATGAAGAAAATAGTAATAATTGTTTTCTTGGGTTTTGGGTTTTTTGTTTTGTCTTGTGGTTTCAACAATAATTATAAGAAGTGCTCATGTCTGAGGTATTTAAGAATTCATCATTAGTTCCTGGAGATTACTCATTTTACTTGCAGGCAGAAACTCAGATTCTTTGGCACTCTTAAGGATACTCTTGTTTCACTTAGGTTCTCATGATCTGCTGATGACACTTGAGCTAGATTTAGAACTTTAATTCAGGAAGGAAGAAAGGTGGAAGATGAACCTGGGCACAGAAATACAGGGGGAAAACTTGACATATCACTATGGCCATATTTCCCTGCACCATTCCTAGACTCATCCCAGGCCCTCCTGGGTGAGCCAAATAAAATGTTCCCCTTTAGATAGCTGGAGATGATTTCCTGGGGGCTCTCAAAGGCTTCCTCACTACTTCTTTTGGGAACTCTTGAGAATAAGTTAAATGGACAAAATATGTCATTTTGTGCAATTGGTACTCTGAGTTATTGCAGAGATGAGGAAGATCTCATTTCTATAGGCAGACATCATTGTCCCTTATACGATCAAAGTAAGTTTTTATTGATCATATTATTGATTTTGATGTTAATTTCATGGTGAATTTTAGCCTCTGGTAGTTGGGCCCTTTTGTAAATTCATAAATCCTCTGTAGTCTCAAGTTATTCTTGTTGGGTTATAGTTCTAACATAATTAGGAGGGTTTCAACCCATATGATATTAGTAAAGTAGTATACTGGCTCCTGTGGGAGTCCCTTCTGCTATGCAGTGTATTAACAATTGACCTGCAGTGACCTCAGCAGGTTTTCTCTCCCAGCACCAGTTAACCTTTTTCAGATCTGAACTTACTGAACCGGTATTAGTGAGATGGGCAGGTGCATTTGTTGTCACTTGCAGAACAAACTGTACTGTGGATTTAATAATTCTGCATATTATAGACAACAGTGTCTAGTTAAAAATGTCCTGTTTGCCAGGCATAGTGGCACACACCTATAATCCCAATGGCTCTAGAGGCTGAGGCAAGAGGATCACAAGTTCAAAGCCAGCCTTAGCAACTTAGCAAGGCCCTAAACAACTTAGCAAGAACCTGTCTCAAAAAAATTAAAAGGGCTGGGGATATAGCTCAGTGGTTAAGCACTCTTGGGTTCAATCCCCACTAGCATCTCTCACCAAAAAATGATATCATTTTTTAATGGCTGGATAATATTCCATCATGTATATTTAACGCATTTTCTTTATCCATTCATCTGTTGATGGGCATCTAGGCTGATTCTGTATTTTAGCTATTGTGAATGGTGCAGCAATAAATATAGGCATGTAGGTGTCTCTTTGTTATGCTGATATCATTCCCTTTGATATATACCCAGAAGTGAGGTAGCTGAAACACACACTAAGTTAA